CTTGACTTTTAAAAATCAGGTTTAGACATCTTTAGAAAAATATGCAAAAGTAACACAGATTGAAGAGAAAACATTTCTTTGATATAAGCATTATTGGACTAGATTCTTTGACTATCGTTCTATAGAAGGTCAAACTAGGTGATCACACAATCTCTGGGTTTAAAATCACTCTGTGTGGTGGTATGCTGACATGTATGATGAGATCTTTAGCTTGAAAAAATGAGTTAAAGGATTCAAAAGGTTATATTTACTATACAGTTGTAATTACTTTTTCTTTCTGCAGAACACACAGTAAAGCTAAAAATATTACCCAAACTCAAAATGAAAAATTATTTACTATAATATCCATTGCTTCTTAAACCATCTCAATTTAGAGACACTAACTCAAAAATCAATTTAACCCTGAAGAGCACCGTTGATGTAAGTGTCCATTGGAATTACTTTCTATTAATTGTATCTTGCTTTCTTTGCAGAACTACAATGCATCAAGCTTTAAGTAGTTTGGGCACTGAATAAAGATTCCAAGATGAACTCAAGACAGATAAAAAATACGGCATTAAATTTTGCAATCGATGGAACATAAAATCACCCACAGAAATTCAGTCCAATCGTGAATGATCTCAATGATTATAAACTCCTATTAACTTGAAAGAATGGAATGTGTGGGTGGCAAGCAGATGAAGATAAATGCAATTAACCTAAGGGAATATGGATTCACTCTCTTTCATTAATCATCACATTCGTTTTTGTTGAAAACCTGGAAAGGACACATTACTGAATGCCACTTTTTATAATTTTCAAGCAAGCATTATAGCTGGTATATTTCAGTTCACTAGATAATCACCACTGCTAGCAGAAGATAAATGTATTCAGAAGTTAATATGGTGTAGGCTATTCTGAGTGAATTGCTTTTTTAAAGAGGAATTCATAACCCCCCCCTCAGTTTTACCCGAATCGTTGCCCATGGGCACACAATGTCTCTTCTGCAGCCCACAGGGATTACTGCAATTTCTTTGTGAGCTTCCAGAATAGGGAATGTACTGCAATTCCCTCTCCGGCTATCAAGTGGTTTTACTGAATGTTTTTGTGTGAGAGTTTGTGAAGCCAGCTCTCAATACAGGAGGCTATGTTGAAATGAGGCTTTGAAAGGCCAGTTTTTCCTAACAAGAGGCACACACTGCATTTAGCAAAATTTAAAGTGCCTTGTATCTGTGCTTGAATGGTCGTCACTTAAAAAAAAAAAAGGTGTAACCTGGTTTTCCCAGCTCTGAGACCAGCTGCAGAGTCAGGGCACATATGTGTATTTGAGCAGATGAGTAGGATTTGTGGGAATGCTCCTCCTGGGTGGCAGGAAAAAACAGTTTGGGATGATTTAAAAGTACTGCTGGAAAAGTGTGGTTGTATAAGAAATGCTTTGCAATCAGAAGAATGCATGAGAAATATTCAGACTTTCTCTGGGTTAATTGCCGCTTTGGGTGCATCCACCACGTTGCTTAAGCATAACAGCCTCTTTCCTCACAAACTCAAGTGTCGTCCGGCTCCAAAAAGCCTCCCAGCTACACCCGAAAAAACCGCCATTGATCTGGCATCCTAAGGCAAGATCAAGGCTTTAAGGCATAATGCTTTCCTAAGGCTGGAGGATAAATGGCATCTTGCAACACGGCATCCAAAAAATGGAACAAATCCCAACATTTACAAAAACCAAAAGACAATAATAGAAAAAGAATTTGCCTCTGAATTCCTTCTCAAAGAAGAATTTGGTTGTTGAGGGGAAGAAATTACCTTGTAGTCGTTCAAAAGTATGTGAGATTTCAGTGGGTCTGCCCTGCTGTGGAATGAAATAAAAGGTGTTTTACAGCCTTTACGTTTCTTACCAATTCAAGGAGACCTCTGAATCCTCTTTCTTGTGTCAGATCTTATAAACCCCAAAAGACCCTGGAGCGTCTCCCACTCTGGTACAACTTTTCCCAGCCGCCACAGCTCTACATCACCAATACTAAGGTGAATTTGTCATTTACCTGCAGATTTTTATTCCACTGAGCACTATCTTCCACATTCCTTTCCCACACCTGAGCTTTCCTATGACCCATTCAATACTTAATTTTCTTGGTCTTCTAAAGGCTTTTAGAGCTGAGAAGCAAATCACGATATTCACAACGTGCCTTTCTTACAAAATTTTCTTTAAACTGAGACAGAGAGAGTAATTGCTCATAAAAAGGACAGTTACAGTCCAAAAATATCTGTGCCCAGTTCCTTCTGTTCCTGACCATCCTCAAAGGCATCCCTGAACTCTCAGCCCTGGCTGTAAAACAAAGGGTAAATGGTGATTTTGTAGATACTGACATTTCTTAAATTCTTCTCCCACCTCTGCTGG